GTCACGTTCATTTATTTCTGAAATACTGGCGAGAGTCGCCGCCCTTGGCCCTGGTAAGGCACGTCGTGTTTTAACACAGGAGCTGCCGGACAGAGAAAAACTCCGGCAGGGGTATCCCTCTTTATCCGTAGGAAGGAGCGCAACCGTCACCAGACTCGATAGCAGCAGCCCATGCTGCGCGGAATCCCGCATCCTTGAAAAGTCGGCCTGGTCATACCGTTACGGATTATGAGGGACGGGGAGAAAAATGCCTCTGGTTCCGCACTTACAGGGCGTACTTCCACCTAAATGGCTAACACTCACGCCAGTCACCCTTCTCGCCCTTGGCACGTCCTACCATTTTCTTTCCCCCCCCCCCCCTTTTTTTTTGGTACAAGCAGGCTAGTGTGCTTTGAAGCCGCGAAAACAGCCGGTTAGGTTGACCTCCCTTATGCAAGGGGAAAAGTAGTACTGAATGTCCAAGTGGGCCGGCACGAGGAAGAGGAGGGCCTGTTATCTGCGGTGGGTCTCCTGTAACTGGGCTGGGCGGAGCCGGAGGGCTCGGTCCTTTGGGGCGCATGCGCCTTGCGCCGCCCGCCTGGCAGGCGCTGAAATTCAAATCTGAAGAGCTCGAACGAGTGGCGGGCGAGGAGCAGACGCGGTGGAGGGAGAAGAAGGAGAGGTGTTTGCTCGCCGTTGGCGGTTCCCGCAGCCATGGACCCCTTCACCGAGGTGAGAGGGCAGCCTTGCTCACAGAAGTGATGGGTAAATCTGTCACCGTGAATGAGGACCAGGTGGAGGGGGGCTTGGGAAATAACAGGCGGTGGTCCTTCGGGTAGGAACACCCTTCTTCTAAGGGAGGAAAGTCGGGGGAGAGCGAGCGAGATAAGCTACTTCACAGAAAGCGGCTATTTTTGTCTTGGCAGACCTTCCCTCATGTCCGCTTTCTCTGCCGTAAGTCCCATTCAATTGAGCGGGGCTGACCTTGGCCAAGCAAGCACAGAGGGTTTGGGCAGTACGGTTCCTCGAAGTCTATGTACAGTATGTCCCTTTCCCCGCGACCAAACCTGGTTCAATTCACAGCGGGCTGACTTGCGAGTAGAACGTGTTGCTTTCAAATGCCATTAAGGATACGGGTTTCCCATCTCCTTATCCGCACAGCCTGCCTCGACTTGCATTAGGGGTATTGTTTTAATATTAAGTCGTGTGCCATTTCCTGTGTTGCTTTCCGGCTTGGGGTCTTTGGGGACGCAATTAAAGTCAATTTGAGGGTCTCTTTGAAGTCGCCTTTCCTGGGGGGGGGTTTGAGACTTTGCTAATGACCACTCTTTGCAAAAGCTGCTCGTGAGGTTTAAGCACCAAATTCTGGTGATCCTGCTGGCCTGCATTTACTCGATTCCCGCTTTGACCCGGACCACAAATTGGGAGTGAGTCCTTCCAGGGATCTTTGTACAACGCCAGTAAAGTAGAAACGAGGACTTGTCTTCTCTCTTATAATGCAAATAGTTGTCTCGCGAAATGTTTTCTGTAGCTTTTTTTCTTTCCTTTTTAAAAATCTGCTGCGAATACATACAAACTGCTTATTTTTCTCTTCCTGACTCACTAGGAAAATATGAGACTAGTGGGTGTGGCATTTCCAAACAAGTTCGCTTTTGTGTTCGTTAATATGGCTTCAGTAACACAATTTTATGAGTTGTTTAGGACTTCACCGGAATATTTCTCCTTCAAAACGGAGTTGAGAAAGTATGATTTTAAAGTAGCGTTTTCCTTTAAAACAAGTTTTATTTAAAAAAAACCCTAAAAATATAAAAATAAAATTCTGTGTGCTTAGAACTGTGTCCATTTTATACCCTGTTTCCACAGAAATAAGATCTAACCTGAAAATAAGTCCTAGTATGAATTTTCAGGATGCTTGTAATATAAGCCCTACCCCAAAAATAAGCCCCACTTAAGTGAAACCTGGCCCTCCACCACTGTGCAGCAACCAGAAGAAGATGAGGTGACTGTATTTGATTAAATGTAGATTGTTGTACATGAAAAAAATAAAACACCCCGTGAAAATAAGCCCTAACCCATTTTTGGAACAAAAATTAATATGAGACTCTGTCTTATTTTTGGGGAAACGGTATGCATGTGTCAATTAAATGTGGTTGCAAACATTCTTATTTTAACCAACTGCAATCCTATCCAGAAGTATAATCTTACAGAATTCATCTGGCCTTACTCCTAGGTGAATATTATGTGTAGGATTGCAACTTCATAAATGTAAACTAACACAACGTCTTTCTGTTTAACTTTTGTAACCTTGATAAAACTGCAACTGTAAATTATTAACATTTATAAGACTGTTTGTAAACACATTTTCCTGAGGAGGAACTCCTCTGATATAGGATTGTACTGTAAATGCATTCAGTCCTTGATAAAGCAATTTAAGAGGATGAAAGCAACTCAGTGTCCATAATTTAAATTATATGTTAGAGCAGTACCTTAGGTTAAACACATGTAGTGTACCAACATCTTTTTGCTGGTGACTTGTATTCAAACCTTCAGTTTTATCTCCTTAATTGGTAGCTGATGACTTCACATAACTAGTTATGAAAAGATTCTTTCTTCAGTTCTCTTTATTAAACTGAACTTCACTGGGTGTGTTACAGTGTTCTGGAAATTTTCCAGAGGACCTACACCCTCCTCATAGATCCTGCTGAACTTCTTTTTGAGTACTATCCACTGCTATCAAACTTGTTTTTCACATAACTATTGATTAACATACAGTACTTTTGTAATATTGAAGTGTCTGCTATTTCATAAAAAAATTCGTGAAACCTCTTTCAAGTTCCACTAACAATCACAGATCATTAGATATTAAGATAATATAAAATGCAAAGCATTGATTTTTCTCTAAACAAGAACTGAAATAATTAATGCCAGCCTTGTGATCAAAAGTCTTCCTTCTGGTATAATGAAAGACACTTCATTTTAATCTGCAAAGTTACATTAAATATTCTAATATCAAAGAAAATGAATTATACAAATGGTCTCTGTTGGCATGATGAAACAGCATTCTGAACTCTTGGGCAAATCATCCTCATTTTACATGCCATGTATCTAATTGTGTGTTACAGTCGGAAGAGCAGTAAACCTTGAGTCAACACTAGTAAGTTATGTGTTCCCTGATATGTTTTGGAACAAAAACTCAATGGATTACTTTTTGATTTGCAATAATGTAGTAAAATCAAATACAAGATTTGGCTTATGAAAATTACTGTTCTATGAATACTGTGACACACTGAAGACTAACATAGTTGGCATAACATGAGCTTTAGCAACTAAGCCTCCCATGTCATCAGATGAAGTTATTCATGTTATACACACAAACACTCCAGCTACACATGATCAGAGGTGGGATTGCCGGTAGTGAAGTCAGAGAGAAATTTGTATCTTGTGTAGTCATATAAAGCAGATGTTCATTCTGTTCAATCAACTGTTGCAGAAAGCTGGGATTGCTTTAGTTTTATATTTACAATAGTATAAAAGCATATTTTCTGTTTCCTTTGCCTTAAGATGGTCACTAAATATTGAAGTCTATTAAAGGCTGTATATCCTCTTTATGGCCTGACCCATTTATTATGTTTGTGTTAAGTGGGCATTTAGGACACAATTACAATGCTAAAGGTTAACACTTCATGTTCTGCTCTTGGCACAATCCTTTGCTATGTACCTTATCTACTTCCTCCTTGTACCATGTGGATGGTCATATGCCAGACCTGTTTTTTTTCCACCAATTGGAGTGAGTGTGGTCTGATGGTGACTGACCTTGTGTCGGTCCCCTTGTTATGGTCAGATCACCACCTGATAAAATGTAAGCTCTCAGTGGCTCTCCCCTCTTGCAGGGAGCATGGACCTATTTCTATGGTCCACCCTCGAAGGCTACTGGATCCGACATGATTCCATGAGAGGGATTTTGGCTGATCTGGCTGGTGCTCCTGTTGAAGCTCTGGTGGATGGCTGGTTTACTGCTGCCACCAGGGCTGTAGACACAATTGCTCCTAAACGCCCTCTCCAGTGCAGAGCTCGGCCTGCGCCCTGGTTTAATCGGGAGCGATGAAGCAATTTAGGAGACGGCTATAGCGCAAGTGGAGAAAGAACCCAATGGATTATAATTGGATAGCTGTCAGGGTCGCAACTAACCTTTACCATGCCAAGGTAAAGGCTGCTAGCCGTGTACATCTCGCTAACCAGGTAAACGAAGCTTCAAAGCAGCAGGCAGAGCTTTTCCGTATAATGCACGACCTATCCGGAATTGGTCAAAGTGATGGGCCTCCCTCTAGTATTTCACCAGACCAATTTGCAGCATTTTAAAAATCTAAAGTGGAGGCCATCCACCGGGAGCTCTCTCTCTCTTTTTTTTTGGATACAGTGGATTGGGTAGACATGTCCAGCGCTCCGCCTTGCCTGGCGATTATTGATCTCCTTCAACCTGTGACGCCAGATATTGTGGACAAAGTGCTTGATCACTGTTGGGCCACCACCTTGACCCTTGCCCGGCCTGGCTAATCAAAGCAGCCAGGACTATAACAATTGAATGGGCCACAGCAATAATGAATGGGTCTTTCCTTGAGGGCAGGGTACCCCTCGCCTTCAAGGAGACATTCACTAGGCCCATAAGGAAGAAACCTAGTTTGGTGGCGGATGAAATTGGCAATTATAGGCCCGTCACCAACATTTCTTTCATTAGCAAAGTGGTGGAGAGGGTGATGGCTGATCAGCTTCAGGCGCATTTGGATGAAACAAATGCCCCGGATCCATTCCAGTCGGGATTCAGGCCATGCCATGGTACAGAAACGGCATTGGTCGCCCTGTATGATGACCTATTGAGGGAGGCTGACAGGGGCAAAATGTCTCTGTTGGTCCTCCTCAGTATCTCAGCTGCCTTTGATACCGTTGACCACAGTATCCTGAGGAGGCCCTCTGAGTTGGGAATTGGTGGCCTGGTGCTTGCCTGGCTCCGATCCTTCCTGGAGGACCGTCCTCAGAGAGGACAGCTTGGGGAGAGGGTCTCTGCCCCATGGAGCCTCAATTGTGGGGTTCTGCAGGGCTCGATTATCTCCCCAATGCTGTTTAATATCTACATGAGGTTTAATATCTACATGACCCGTGAGCGCACCCCGCGCATGTGTGTGACCGTGCTACGCCTACCCGCAAACACGCAGACACTGCCCCCAACTGGTCCACAGTTTTGAAAAGGTTGGGGGCCACTAGTTTAAACTACAGATCCTTTTAAGACACATTAGTAGATCAGTTGAATCTTAATTGGCAGCCTTATATCTTAGTCATTTGATGCTGGCTTGAAATAAGTTTTGTCAAAGATGGATTTGCTACGACAAGAGTACTAGCAGAGAGTAGGAGCACTTGTTTCCCATTCTTAAGGTGCCCAGAAAACTATGATCTTCACCTAAAATAATTTCAGGTGGCATGGCTCAATTCTGCTGCTTCAGAGCTTGAATAGCCACTGCTCAGAGAAGACAGCAGTGAACCTGATAAAAGATCACTGTGTGTGCATCATTTTAAAAGAAAGTGAAAAAGTTCTGCTCATAACTTCTCTAAACAAATGCATGTATTTTATCATAAAGAATAGTGATTTCTTCATCTTCTGTTGCTGCTTTGGCAGGTACTGCTTGACAGTTTCCAATGCCAAAATGAGAAGTTATTTTTTAAAATTCAAGTGGTTTGTCCTTTGGATAACATGGAATACTGAAGCTAAAAAGGAAATGCCTGTTCTTTTCCATAATTCTCCATACATGCACGTATTTCTTTACAGTCTTTGCAGCCTTTGTCACTTAAATTAATTAAATATTGCTGCATTTGATTAAAACACACACGATCTAATTGAAATTTATGTTGGCATACTTCATAGTACCTTAATACTTTTCCTTGATTTATCTGTTTCTATTCTGACTGATCCACTTTTTATCATCCCCAATCTTTGTTTGCCTGTTACCATATACATGTTATGTAATATAGGAGAGGTTGCATTAGTTCTCTTTTTGGGCTGTGGAGGGAAGAATTTATACTTTCATTTCTAAGTTCTCCATACACAGCTCTGAGGGGATTGCCAGTGTGATATCTTATTACAATAATTCCCATAAATGGACATGAGAATCAGTTGAACTGAACTTAAAAGGAACATTGTATGTCTAGTTGAAACTGAATGATGCAGGTGTGTGCCAGATGAAACCTGGTAAATCCAATAAATATTGCAATTCAGTTTTTGAGGACTGTGATTTAGAACAAGAAGGTAGACATGGCTTAACAAAGGTTAGCTAACTTCTTGGAAAATCCTATGCTAAACTCCTGCCGCTTGACATGTTTTGCAAAACTCCATTGGTGTAGATATGCCGGCAGAAATTGGATCTGGCTACTAGAAATAATTCATTTAAATGAATCAAAAGCTTCCTATTCCATCTTTCAGGTTCCAAGGCTCCTAGGCTTCCCTTTTGCCTTGGGATGGGGAGGGAGAGCCCTTTGTCACTGCTAGGATTGGAACTGCCAACAGCAGTCTGGTGGTGATTTTTGACTGTCAGAGGCTTCCTCATGCATTCCGAGGATCCTGAACCTCAAAAGGAAGCTCTGGGGAACCTTAGACCCTGAAAAGCAGGAATAGGAAGGTTTTGATTTTGAAAAATTCTGGAAGCTGATTTATGCCAGCATTAACTATACAAACAGGATTTTGCCCAAAGATGGTGCTGACTTCTGAGACAAAATGTTCTGTCTAAACACTTTCAGAGCTACAACAAACTGATTCTTACTGCATGCTTTTTTGGTTGCATATGCTGCACGTCTCCCCCTGCTGGATCCATCCTGGATCTTTCTTTTCCTCTCAGCATTACTACCCTACAATGATATTTTGAACTACCTTCAGAGTAGTGAGTACCATGGTGACACAGAGTAAAGATTCATACTGTACTGTTATGTACCATTTTTAAAGCAGTATAAGTAGTTAGTGATTTTACTAGTACAGGAGTTGTGTTTGTTGATCATTCAAGACCTTTCTAATTAAAATGGCTCTGCCACTTTACAAATGACAAGTTTAGTGTCCTGGTTGTTTAGTTTTGACTACTGTCTTCCCCAGGCCTTTAAAAAAAAGCAGAAGTGCAGAATTCATAGCAGTTAATTGAAACTATGTACCAGTCATATGTGGTCACGTGCTGATCATACACCCAGGCACATACATTACCAGTATATTATTAGTATCTTTGAATTAGCAACTGTAACATTCCATTTTCACTTACTCACACATAAAAATCCAACAGAATTCCTGCCTAACGTCTCTGCATTTTGATTGTTTGAGTCAAGCTCTGTAGACATTTGTAGATGCCCACATTTTTCCTATAATCTCTCTCCATACAATGGTGCCTCACTTAACGATGTTAATTCGTTCCAGCGAAATCGCTGTAGAGCGAAAACATCGTAAAGCGAAATTAAAAAGCCCATCGAAACGCATTAAAACCCGTTTAATGTGTTCTGATGGGCTGGAAACTCACCGTCCAGCGAAGATCCTCCATAGGGCGGCTATTTTCGCTGCCTGCAGCGAGGAATCCGTCCCAGAAAACAGGGGGGGGCATTTTGTTTACCCGGCAACCAGCTGTCTGAAAATCATCGTTTTGCGAAGAATCGGTTCCTGAAGCAGGGAACCGATCATTGCAAAACGAAATTCCCCCATAGGAAACATGGTAAAGTGATCGCCAAAAGTTCGTCGTAATGCCGTTTCATCTTTAAACAGAGCGATCGTAAAGCGAGGCACCACTGTATAGTAAAATCATTTGTTTGATAGTACAGTGAGGCTATTTATCTTTCCCTTAGTTTGTTTGTAGGGAGCTTGTGGGAAGAATTTCCCCATTTTAACACTTGGTTTACTGCTCTACTCTTTCATACATTGAAACTGAGTATGTTTACCCAAAACTTTATTCATATTTTTTTCCTGTGAAATAAGAAACTTCTAGAACGGACACGTGCTAGGAGAGAGAATTTACAGAAGAAGATGGGTGGCCGGCCCACAGCAGGAGCACGATGTACAACACAAACAAAAAGAAACAGAGAACCTTTGTCAGAAGCTGGTAACCAGACACTTCAGTCTAATGAAGAAGGTATTTTTCACAGAATGAGATTGTGGTGCTGTTTGCAGACATTTATGTATGACGTTTCAAATGTGCTTGTCTTATCATATAACCTTTTCTCCTGTTAGCAAACTGACTTTAAAATATAGTAAAGCTAATCTCTTCAATTTCTTTTAAATTATAAGTAGTACAGTGGGGTCTTGACTTGAGAACTTAATCCATATTGGAAGGCGGTTCTCAAGTCAAAAAGTCTAAGTCAAGTCTCCATTGACCTACAGTGCATTGAAAACCGATTAATCCCGTAACAGGCCGTTTTTGTTCCATTTTGGTTCTTTTCTGGTCTGTAAGTCAAATCTCAGTCTGCAAGTCAAACCTAAATTTTGCAGCCAGAGAAGTCTGTAACTCAAAAAGTCTGTAAGTCAACCCGCCTGTAAGTCAAGGGTCCACTGTAGTATGAATGAAAATTTAACATTTTTATTCCTATGTGTTTGTTTGAATTGTATACCACATTGGTGACATTTAGGGGAAAGTAGTGTATAAATATTATTAAATAAACATTGTGGACCAGTGTGAATTATCCAGTTAGCTAATAGTGATATAATGTTCTGGACTGTATGCCAGAACATTATATGTATGTATACTGCATCACAGTTGCTGTACGTTTGGACAGTCTGAGTCCTTAAGTCATTTTAGCAGGTAATGTGATGTGGAGGAAGATAACTGAGTAATGATTGGGAATTGTCTAACATGAGGAGTCAAACAGAATGAACTCTTGCTCTTCTATGTATATTCTTAATATGCTCCTAATGGAATGCTGCAATGTATTAGTGCAACATCCTGTTCAACAGATTCTTTTTTCTTAACTTCTATAGAAAAATCAAATACAAAGCCATCACCATCCAAAAGACGTTGTTCAGAAAATGCGGAGGTTCCCATTTCTAACTCTGAGAATACACACCCAAATCACTCTTCTTCCATAACCTGTGTTCCTCCTGACATGGATCCTACTTCTCATCTGATTGCTCCTTCCACTGAGACTGAAGAGCAGGATCTTAAATCTGAACCACCTGCTGTTGCTTCAGTTAAAACACGTATGCAAAAGTTGGCTGAACAACGACGCTGCTGGGATAGTGGTATGTGTTCCACTCTATATGGTAGTTTTAACTGAAAATTCTTCAATTATAAAAGCAAGCAAAAATGGAGAGTTCAGCCTTTTCGTGTCACTGTAGTGTTTTAAAAAGACTGATTTCAGAGCACGTATCCATCTCAATCATCAATATGCCAAGTGTTTGCATAGTGTGTGCAAAGTAATGTCTATTTCAGACTAATAAATGAAGCCTGTGGATAGTTTGCCTGCCTGCCCATAAATAGCTGTGTCAACAGCTTTAAGGGAAGAGGAACTCTTTTTCACCTAGTGAAAATGTTGCTGCTTCATGTTGGTAATTCCGACTACTATAATCAGACAAATGCTTGGTAATACAATCGTTTATTTCCTTTATATTTCCTTCTGGAATATTTTACCTGAGCCTCTGATTCAAGGGCTAAATAACTGAAATGTGAATCCCATTGTAGCTCAGTTCTTGTATCTTTCCTGTGAGAGCACATGAAAGGCATAGTGACTTCCCTCCTTTTTGTGCTTGGCGTACTCCCACAGAAGATAACGTTATTTGGTTCGCTTCAAAACACTCTACAAAACAAGTGCCAAATTGCTTTATAATAGTGCCTTTCTGTACTATTTCAATTTACAGATTTATCTGAAAGTTCCAGCATGTCTCCCATCCAATCAAAAGAATCTGTCAGTTCCCCGCCTAAACAACTACCTCTTACAACAGACACCCCAATAGGGCGAAGAGGCCGTCTAGCTGACCTTGCTGTTACAATTGGTTCCTGGGAAGATGACCTAAGTCATCCATCTGCAAAGCAAAACAATACACAAGAACAGCCTGGTACTGCTTGTTTATCCAAATTGTCCACTACGAGTGGAGCATCTGCTAGAATCAATAGTGGCAGTGTGAAGCAGGATGCTGTGTCTTGTTCGCAAAGGGCTGTTGAGTCATCTGTGAATAAGTCAGCAACCTCTGAGATATTGGTAAGTGATCATATTTAATCTGATGTGATTTTCTATCTTTAGAATTCAGACTGAAAATATTAGGCAGCAATCCTAATCATGCTTAACTTGGGAGAAAGTCTTGTTGAACACAATGCCATTTTATGAATAAAGTCCAGTATGAGTTCTGCTATAGGTGTGGCAGTTTCAGGAAAGAAAAAAAGAAGTTTGTGGTATTCAAGCTGTTTTACAGAATGAATTATTATGGATGGGAGAACTGTTACAATATGGCTATTAATCTGTTATAGCAAACTCATGATCTGGATCAGTTGTGCACAGTAGTAACATATAATCGTACTCTGTTTACTTTCTGAGAGCTACTTATGTTAAACATAAGTGCTACAAGTGTTAGCAAACATAGATGCTCTATGCATGGGGAGAGATGCTGACCCTATTTGCAGATTCTGGTTTAAAAGGTTGTAGTAAGAGTAGCGGTTGGAGGAGATGGGGCACTAGTTTACCCTTTTGCCAGAACAGTTAAAAACACACTTTGGTGGTGGAGGAGTGGCTCCAGATTTGTCAATGTTGCATCTGGAAAAGTAATCTTAAATAATACTTGCATAATAACTTGAAACATGTTTTTACCTTCTACTCTTAGGGAGCTAACAGTTCTATAAAAAATAACTCAGGAATAATTAGTAGCCATTCTAAAGAAACTGATGCACCAAAACGGCAACCACAAGAAAAGGCCAATCTTAAACCACCAGTGAAACCATCATTGTCCCAACAAGTTCCTGTCAAAGAGGAGCGAACCAAGATAACACATGTACAAGCTGATTACAAGGAAAAGCCAGCCACACCAGGTGAAAGATTATTTCTTTATTTAAAGTGACATTCTTGATGTTTCTGCATTGAGCATGAATTTCTATGAAAGACTGTATATGTCTTTAGCGGTATAGAGTTGTTTAGGTAATAATAAACCTCTAACAGGACAATCTCTAACTTAGGTTAAGCCCACGTGGAGTAAACCGTTTACTGTTTATTTATCAACATTATATTATTAGCCATTAATGGTACATGCAGTTTTGCAGTATTATGTTCATACACTGCAATGAATAACTTTTAATGCAATGTATAAACTGTATGTACGTGTTATATTACATATAACAGATGCAAATTATTTTAGTTTTTGAGCAATTTTACTGTTCATATTCTTTTCTTATTGGCTTTTATTCATTACCAAATTATTAAATCAGTTCTGCTTATGTATAGACATCTTGAAATAAAATAAATAAGCTTTAAATATATCGGCATATATATATTAGACCCAGGGCAAAGCTCTATCCATCAACTGAATGGAAACAGGGGATTGCTCTAATTAGAGGTACACACAAGTGAACCTCTGATACTGTTTCACCGTCAAAACAATGTTTCATAAGCTATTTCTGATAGGAGTGGGAAGTCCAGACAAACTGTTAAGACATGTGAATGAGCTCTTGAATAAGGACTATATTTAGCAGATCATAGGTAGTGTGGCTTTGCTGTATGCCAAACTGGGAGAAAATCAGACAAGTATTTTTAAAGATGCAGTTTCTGATTTAACTCACATAACCCTGCTGCCCCCCCCCCATTTTTGCTTTTGTCATTTTTCAAATGGCAAACACTAGTGTTTCACAAAAGAAAATAATTCCTGCTATGAGTTTTTTATTTGAATTTGATCTGTCCTGTCATTTAAAAGATTGTTGTTGTTTAGTCGTGTCTGACTCTTCGTGACTCCATGGACCAAAACACGCCTGGCCCTCTTGTCTTCCACTGCCTCCCGGAGTTGGGTCAAAGTCATGTTGGTAGCTTCGATGACACTGTCCAGATATCTCGACCTCTGTCGTCCCCTTCTCTCACCTTCACATTTAAAAGATATCATATCTTAAAGATGCTTCTTTTTCATTTGACAATATTCAAAAAGTGTAGCTGCACACACTCAGTGAAATATTCTGTAGCCATTACCCAAATTTCTTGTCATTATTTTATGAATCTAGCGAGTCTCACTGAGGTAAATGATGCTTACTTCTGGACAAGGGAAAATCCCAGAACATGACTCCTCTTTTCATCAGCTAACCAAGAGTGGTTAGTGGTTAGCAAAATGTTACTTACACGGCAGTTGAACCACAGGCTCCCTTATTTAATTGCCTACCTATGTTTTCTTCACAATTTTTGCTGAAACCTATGTATCATTGTACATTACAATCTCACTATTTTGTTGGAGGTTAGTTCCAAATAAAATGTTGCAATGCGATATAAATGCCACTCTGTGGGCCTAGTTACTCCCTACCTCTGAAATGAAGTGTAAATTTTTCTGCGGACAGCAATGTAGATTTTTTTGGGAAAATCAATGCACAGTTTAATGTTGCAGTTTTTACTAATTAACTGCTTTTAATTTGTGCTGGTATTAAGAATCTATCATGTACCATGGTCTCCTTACTTAAACAACAGTGATATGTAACTTACTAGACACATCTCTATAAGATTCCGTACTGCTGTGTTCTTATTAGATTTTCTGTAGACAGTAGCTTATTAAGAGGTGACTTACAGTGTTGTGTGTCAACCCATCTGGGATTCTAGATATGTGCAGGATCTGTTGATATGGTGAGGTGCTTATGCCCAGATTTCTGATAAGTGGGAATATAGCAAAATTCTATAAATTCCTCACCATGTTAATTGAAAAAAAACTTGTGATCAGGTCCCCATATTACAGCCTTGTATTTGAGCCTAGTGCTAGCATTTAAGTATCAGTGACTAGGAATTTTGAGCAAGATGCTTAAGAAAATTCTATGCAGATGAGTGGGTGGACTGACAGAGGAGGAATGGAGCATCCAGTTTCTCTGCTGCAGCCAGTCTAAGAACCATGTAAGATAATCAATGAGGGATGTGTCCCACTTTCACTTCCAGCATAGAAGAGCACCTGCTAGCAGACCTGCCAAAGAGAAATTACAGTAACATTCAGGGAGGTTCATTTACAAGCCTGCCATCTTTTGTAAATTTACATTTGTTGTAAGATACTACTGATAAATAGCCATTGATAGCAGCCCCATAAAATATAATGTGGAGATATTCAGATGAGATACTTAATTCAACTAACTTCCTCCCTTCCTCCCTAGTCTGCTTGTTTTCTTACTGGGATGATATTTTTGTAATGACCTTTTGGTTGACCACTGTTCCAAAGGAATTAAAATATATATTTTTTTGAAAAACAAATTTCTGTATTGCTTTAAGTGTCACTAGGAGAAGCAGAATAAGAGTATGAACAGAACATTGCCTTGTATAGTAATGCACACATAGGTTTTTGCCAAGACAGTTCTTTTAAAAGTTGATTTTGACCTTAAGTGCATTAGATCAGCAGTCCCCAAACTTTTTGGGGTGGCGGACCAGCAGGGGGAAGCGAACTCCATGTCCGGGGCAACATATCACGCTTGCGCGATGGGCATGTCACACTTGCAGGGGTGTAACACTCCCCCCCTGTGCGGGAGGCAGATACCCGTATCCATGGCCCAGTTCTGGCAAACCCACAGACTGTCACCACTGCGGACCGGGAGTCGACAACCCCTGCATTAGATGAATCTTTTCCACCATGTTTGCTTATGTACTCGGAATTCATGGTTTAGAAATATCTAAAATTTCTTAATGAAAGCTGAAAATATGCTGAGCCTAACGTCATCATCTATTTCACTTGGTTGCTCATGGCAGATTTTTCAAATCTGTAAATTAACTTGGTAATAAATCTTCAGACTTTATAACAACATTTATTATTTATTTGTATGTCACAGCACCATGTTTTGAGGTGCATATTATAGGCATCTTGAAAGTCTGCTTGCCCTTAGCTGCATTTCAGTGATTTATTAGAACATGTTCACATGCTGAATCTAATAGCTGCTATGAAAATGTGTAGTTCAGAAGGACTGCTTTGCAGAACAGCTTAATACTGCACTTCAGCATGATTTCTAAATCATGAAGAACCTAACTTTGTTGATGAAGCAAACTCATTTGTTCTTATAGGAGGATCAAGTATTAAGCCTTTTCTGGAGCGTTTTGGAGAGCGCTGCCAGGAATATAGTACACAGAGTCCTGTTATCTCTGGAGGACACAAAACTCCGATTATCACTCCAAATACCAAGACAATCCAAGAAAGACTCTTTAGACAAAATGAAGCATCCACAACTGCCAGCATAGCACAGCAGCTCAAACAGGTACACCTTTTAGTCATCTCAAAACCTTATGGAATGATCAGGCTTGAATACTGGCTCAGATTTGCAAAGAGATATACAAATTCAGATTATATTACTTCTTCATTTGTTCAGGAACGTGAAAAAGAACTTGCTTGCATTCGAGGTCGGTTTGACAGGGGCAGCTTGTGGAGTGCTGGAAGAACAGGCGACTCTAAGAAGAAACACCCAGAAACAAAATCGGTAACATAGTAGAACTTCTTTTTAGGGAATCAGTAACATCTGTTTTAATATCTTTAGATAAATGTGTCAGTCACCTATCATGTTATAAGCTACATATGTTGCATGGAAGAACAATGTATCCTCTGTGTGTGTGTGTGTGTGTGTGTGTGTGTGTGTGTGTGTGTGTGTGTGTGTGTGTGTGTGTGTGTGTGTGTGTGTGTGTGTGTGTGTGTGTGTGTTATATAGATAGATATAGACAGACAGACACGCACGCACGCACACACACACACACACAAGCTCATTCCTGCAGAAGTAAACCATGTCACATGATCTCTACATGCTGGTTTGTTGCATTTTTCCTGTGATATTCATTCCCATTTTAACTAATCCTCAAAGATTCCGCACTCTTTCTATAAACTAATATATTACTATATAAGCATATTAGATCAAGCCACTTCTCTTCTATCTAATTGTACCAATTTGCTACAGTCATGGTGAGGAAGTGAAGTATCCATAAACTCAGAAGTCTACAAATCATTTTGAAATTGTTTCTAAAGGATTCATGGCATTTGAAGTATTTCTTTTAGATCTGGTTGTAAATATAGGTTGAACATGAAGTATTTTCCTTTTCTAGGAGGTTCAGTCCCAAGCTACTCCAAAGCATCTTCCCAGTTCGGATACCAGTTGCCAATTAGCCAAAGAAAAGACTGCAGTACTTGAGACAGTAGCAGAAAGAAAGGCTACAATACCTGAGAAAATAGGAGAAAGCATTTCTGCAGGTGAGAACACTGTAATCTAAGACTGACTGACTACAAACGTTTAGCAAATGTTTGAATATTTTTATTATGATCTTCATATGTTTTCTAAAAGCCTAATTTATACTTCAGAATATATAGATATTTTTAATGGTCAGTGTACAGTATTTTTCACATGAGAATTTGAAGTTTTGTTCTCTCCTCTTATAGGAGAAGAAACAGTAGTTGATGGAGTAGTTGGCAATTAGGGTTGTCCTGATTCTTGAGAGGTCAGGATGAGGCTCAGTTATCTTCCTTAATCTGTGTCTCCAGATATTTTTGTCTTCAACTCCCATGTTCCTTTGCTCAACGGGACTATTGAAGCTGCAGAGCAAAACATATGTAGGATAACCTGTCAGGGACGGGGTGAGCTAGTGTGTGAAATTTTCTCATTTAGATTTTTAGTTGTGTTTGTCTGGCATCTTTCACATCTGTGTCTTTCTTTCTTAGTAAATGGAATCAAAACAGATTTCTCCTAGAACTTTGAGAAATGCAGTATTCATATATTCTGGCCTATGCAAAGATTTCTGTTGTTGGGCTTTCATGCCTTGTCATCCCATTCCCTCTCCCTGGATAGAAAACAACAGCCTTATTGATTAGATGGGCATAGTGTATTTGGTGACCATTCCTGCATTTTGTGATTAACTAGGCTTGATACAGAAATGACAAGCAAATAAGCTAACAGGCTCTGAAACAGTGATGGACATATGTTATTTTGGTAGTCATCAAATTTTGATGAAGCATCTGGAACCTTACGGTGTGCCTCTTAGAACTGTTTAAAAATATAAAATTACTGTAAGATAATGTCAGATGAATTAGTTTTGCAATTCAGTCTCTTCATTAAGTGCAGACTTGAAATTCCTCAGCCCGTCAAGAAATCTATATTTGAACACAGGTCACAATGCATCACACCTTGATCTCACTGGAAGTTTGAAATTTTATTTTAAAATGACTTGCTCTACTTGTGTCATTTATTCTTTGGAATCTTCTAGGCACTTCAGAATTTGAAAAAGTAGAAGAACACAGTCCTTTGAAAATTATCTCACCAAAAAGTGCTGTAAAATCAACATCTAACTTAAAGCTTGAGCAACTTCCTGACAAACAAAACGGTTTGTACTTGCTGCCTTTGTATCTTGATTTGGTCTCTTTGCATAGGCTTTTACCTTTCAAAAGTTTTTTCCAGACTTAAGAAGCTTTAAATCCTTCATGGTGGGCCACTCCTAATCTTTTAGGCAATGCTGGATTTATTGGTGTTTGGAAGATTTTGAGGCATTTCTTCTATTAGTGAGATAATTCATGTGTAAAATGGAGGATCACTTGTCCATTGGCACCAAACTGTTGCAAGATAGCTTCTGACAGAGTTTATACTTGTGAAGTAATATCTGTAGTAATTTTGCTAGGCTTGAATTGTAATGTTTTATTTATTTATTTTATTTAAATTATTTATATGCCACCATTCTCCTCATAGGGGACTCAGAGAGGCTAACAACAGATAAAATAAAATTTTAAAGCACTATATGAATATCACATTTAAAAAACAATTAAACATACATTAAAAATCAAGTACAAAAAACCAATTCAGTAAGATTAAAAAACTTGCAGGTTAAGAAAACAGCATTCCTGAGATAACTTGCTGCTTAAAGGCGTGCCTGGAAGACAAAGGTCTTTGACTCGAAACAGTTTGGACTTGATATTTGCTTTGATTTGTTGGGCTGAAACCAGTCTTCCCATCCTTTTGCCCTCCAGATGTTTAGGAATTCAATTCCAGTCAGCATGGGCAATAAGAAGCATGTTGAATTATCTGGAATATCTAGTTTGAAATATCTTGAGGACGTTATGTTGAGTAAAACTGCATTAAAATAGAGAACAACACACACACACACCCATAACATTGCTTGCCCATTTTCTCTGTATTTTAAGCTTTGCCAGGAAGTAGGAATTTTGATCTGATAACTTTCTGGTTCTAATTTCTTTGTCTCACTTTGATTTCTAGTCAGTACGTGGCACTTCTGTTTATGTATATTTACCTAATGTTAAATTTTCATTGATTTTATATTTCAGAAAAAGAAGACAAAACTGAGGCGAATGACGAGATGAATAGTTCAAAGGTGATAAGTGACATATTTGATGAACTTCAGGAGGATGGACCTGATATAGAAAAGCTTAAAAAAGAGATGACTATGACCTTAGAAGCTGACAGTGAAGATGAACAGGAAGAAACACTGAATATTTCATCAATGTCCCTCTTAACGCCCCTAACAGAGTCTGTTGCTGTTGTAAGTCCAGAGGTAAGGAAGAGTATTTAATATAGTAATATTTATACATGTCTTGGTTAATAGCATAAGCTTTTTGGAAATGGAAAAAAATGCAGTTTCACATTTTCGACATAGCTGTATGTTCCTTGTATTCACAACAGAATCTCTTCAGCCTAACAAAGTGTGATTTTGTTTCAGAATTTGAAGATTGTCCAAATATCTATGCCTGCTTTCCCTCTGTCTTTCAGGTTTTTGTTTCCCCTAGTAAGTCAGTTGATGAGAGGAGAAGTGCAAATGATAGTCCAAATTCCAGTATTTTGCAGAGAACATCTATGTGTAGAACTGAGTCTGGAAGTAGTTTCGGATCCTTGTCAGATGAACGCAATCTTCCATATAGGTAATAATTCCCAGTTCACAAAGCTTGTTTAAATTTTTGTCAGGTCTCTTGAAGTAGTAGTGTTAGAATACTTAGAGAAGTGGGTAAGCCATTTCAGCATCATTTAAGTATACATGTCTTTGAGCAGGGGATGTACAGAATTATGGAAGAAACAACAGGGTAGAAGGGTAAAGAGAACCTACAGTATTAGCTTAGCCACCATTCAGTTTATTTCATGGAGCCAGCTGCCAACGGACTAAATGCACTCTGACTAAGATCATAAGTGCCATTAATGCTCCCAAGATCAGTCAGCCACCAATTTATCCAAAAGATGATGATTTTACTTGCAAGTCCCTCCTTATATCTTCCCTTTTTGAAATATGTTGAGTCAAATAACCTGCTTCTGCATCTTTCTAAAATTGGACTTCTTCCCTCTGAAGTATTGATGCCTATCGGTCTCAGCGATTCAAAGAAACTGATCGTCCTTCAATAAAGCAAATAATTGTTCGTAAAGAAGATGTGTCGGCCCGGCTTGAGGAGAACAGGAATGGAGCTTCTGAGCAAATTAACATTAAACGTAAATTGCAGGTAGCTGGTGTTTTGCTGTAAATTTCTAAATAAATTAAATATTGCTGAGATAAGTCCATCTTGCTGTTTCTTGTTTTCCAAATCTAATTTCAGTGATTTGTTGCTTTTAAAGCTGTCTGGAACTGCTAGCTGCTTAGTTTTCAAGCTTTAGAACTAGGTTTAACCATGACTAATACCTAGGCAAAACTTCAGCAGATCCAAAATGTGGCTGTCAAATTGTTAAACTGCAGCTGGTTACAGGGATCACATAACCATCCTGTTATTGCAGCTCTGCTGGGTGCCAATCCATTTCTGGGCAAAATTCAAAGTGCTGGTTCTAACCTCTACAGCACTAAATGGATTGAGCCCAAGCTATCTCAAGTACTGTTTCTCCCTTTATGAGCCTGCTTGGCTACTGAAATAATCAGGAGAGGCCTTCCTCTCAGTCTCGCCACCTTCACAGGTGTGTTTGGCAGGGACACAGGAGTGGGCCTTCTCTGTTGCTGCTCCCAGACTTTGGAACTCCCTCCCACAAGAGGCTAGGCTGGCCCCATCTTTACTGTCCTTCTGCAAGCAGGCAAAGACCTTTGTCTTCAGCTAAGCTTTCCCTTAGTAGCCCTGCTGCCTGAGGGGTTTTTATATGTTTAGTTGTTCCTTACTGCATGAATGTGTTTTGGGGTTGCTTTTGTTTACTGTTTTGTAGTATGGTATTTGAACCTTTTTAGTATACTCAGTGTATACTCACTTCAAATGCTATCTTTTAATGATAAAACCACCTTGATTCCTTTTCAAAGAGAACAGCAGAGTAAAAACATTTTAAACAAATAAGAAAATAAATAAATCAGTCAGTTCTGTTTGAACTGGTTCGTGGTTGAACAGGTAGGAAATGTGCAGTTCTTCAGTTTGTTAGTTATCTATGGTTAACAAAAGAGCAAAATTATACAGTGGGTTCTTGACTTGAGAACTTAATCCGTATTGGAAGGCGGTTCTCAAGTCAAAAAGTCTGTAAGTCAAGTCTCCATTGACCTACAGTGCATTGAAAACCGATTAATCCCGTAACAGGCTGTTTTGGTTCCATTTTGGGTTTTTTCGGGTCTGTAAGTCAAATCTCAGTCTGCAAGTCAAACCTAAATTTTGCAGCCAGAGAAGTCTGTAACTCAAAAAGTCTGTAACTCAAAAAGTCTGTAAGTCAAGGGTCCACTGTATTTCTTCCCATCCAAAGTGCTATGCACAATGTGACTGTTGGTCTTAAAACATTTTGACTCATTACTACCCCGAACATGATTAGTAATACAGTGTAATACAGACACACACACACACACACAACTCTTTCCTAGAATAATGGACAGGCTTTAGTATTTCTGTGCTTCCACATATATTGAGTTTCAAGGCTACGTGAGTTCCAGCTATGTCCCATCTTATTATCCTTCTCCCTGCATGTTCCTGTGTGTGAGTTAAAATTTGCATGTTTAGAGTTCAATAGGATGTCGATATAAAATTTACTCTATTTTTATTTAAGTCTGCATGCTCTCAATTTCTAGAATTACAGTGAATATATCTGACATGATTTAGAAAATCGATGTGCCACTTTTAAATAAACACCATCATTTTTAGTAAGTCAAAAAACTGCAGTGCGTATCTTACCCCACTGTTTCTCAGTCCCATGATGTGAGATCTGTATGTTGCACTATGAGGAACTTGCATTTCAGATGTACTTTGCAAGGTGCATGTGTATTTTGTGGCTCCATTCTCAAAGAACTGGTACTGGTTACAATGTAAATAAGGAATGTCTCCTCCAGTCCTTCAATTTTACTAAGTTGACATACTTAACTATATTTAGGAACTGAATAATGAAATAAACCTTCAACAAACTGTCATACATCAAGCCAGTCAGGCTCTGAACTGCTGTATTGATGAGGAACATGGGAAAGGATCACAAGAAGAAGCAGAAGCTGAAAGACTACTTCTTATTGCAAGTGCGGTGGTTTTTCATTCAATAATTGTAGCAATTAAAATTAGAATTTTGTAGATGTAACTGGATTCATAGCCTATAAAACCAAAGCATCTGCCTTAAAATTTTCCATGAAAAAAGTAGAGATGCTGATTGTTACATTTTCAGTGTATAATAGGCATGTTTCTTGTCATTCATTTTCAATTTCTGTAATGATTAGTTAAGACTTTAGTTGTATTGGCTCTTGCCTTTCCATTGGACCATTTCAGCAATGTGGAGAGGGGGGATCTGCTGCTTGGGTAACAGCCTATCCTCCATATTACCTTACCCGGGCTTCATGCTCTGGAGAGGACACTCCTCGATTCAGAGCATGTTACCATAGTCTCTCGAGACTGAAGGATGCCTATGTATCAGGGTTTGCTCCATGCGCCATCAGCTATTCTGTCTTATATAACAATAAGTAACTAGTAAGAAAAAGTTTGAAACATGTCATGTTTCTAGAGCTGGAAAAACAAGTGTTGTTGCAAGAGCTGGACAGACAAACAATTGAAGTCAATTCCATTTCAGGGAATGAGCTCTATTGAATTGAGTAGGATGTCTGAGTAGACATATGTGGCCTATGCTGTATTTTTATTTAAGTCTACGTGCTTTCAGTCTCTAGACTTAAAATGAACATCTCAGATGTATAATGCCTGCAGACATCCCATGGGGAGGGCAAACTGAAGAAGACCATCACTTTTTGTATGTTGCTTTGGAGCACCTCATAACATCTGGATGACTTCCATTGAAAATGGGTGTTGAACTAGATGGACCTTAGTTACAATCCAGTCAAGAAATCCTTGTGTAAAGCAGAAAATATGAGTAGCTGTTGAGAGAAAAAAATTAAAACCATATCACGTTTGTACAGCTGAAAAAAGAACAGCATTGTTGGAAGAGCTGAACAGACTGAAAAATGAAGGCCTTCAGAGTAAGAAGAAAGTTGATCGTGTGCCTTGTGGCGTTTCTCCATCCAGAGGACATGTTACTCTGTCTGAAATGCGCCTCCCCCTAAAACCAGACTTTGTATGTGGTGCGGCTCAAAACTCAGGTAACACCTATTGCTATATCCCCATGGGATCAAAACAGTGCCCTGCACTAATAGGATGGTGTATTTATTAACTAATCAGTTAATTACAGTATAGGATTTTATGCAGCATTGTGACTTCTGCTATGTTGTGTAGTTATTCTACTACCAAATGTGTTGTTGAATGGATTTTGGTTGCTTATACTCAGGATCTGAATATTTGTTATATTGAGGGTTAGGTTTTAGACTAAAATCTTCGCAGATTCCAGTACCATCTTCCTTAGGATGAAATGGATTTTGAACCATGAAAGCTCACATTGAAATAAATCTGTTATAGTGCCAGAGTATTTTGATACCCTTTTTTCTTTTTACCCCTTTTAATTTTGCCAGCATCCTGACACAGACTAACACAGATACATTGTTCTCTAGAAGCTGATTTTTTAAAAATCTGTAAGCTTTTATACGTAACTTCATTAATTTTGTGAGCTGACTAGTGACAAAAATTGTGGACAGAATTTTTTGTCTCCAGCCTTGTCTGAACTGCTTTCCTAAAGCTACTGTTATAATAACTTGCTAAAATATTTGCAGAAACAGCAAACTACTACTACGTAATCATATTAAAAGCAGGAGCAGAAAATATGGTTGCTACGCCATTAGCAAGCATTTCAAATTCCCTGAATGGTGATGCTCTTTCTTTTACAACAACATTTACACTGTAAGTATTTCTATAGCAATTTAATTAATTTTATATACCATGTTTACTCAAAAATAAGACAGGGTCTTATATTAATTTTTGCTCCAATAAGGGCTTATTTTCAGGGGATGTTTTACTTTTTTCATGTACAACACTCTACATATATTCAAATATAGTCATGTCATCTTCTGGTTGCCCCACAATGCTGCACAATGGTGGAAGTGGGGTTTCACTTAACTGGGGCTTATTTTGGGGGTAGGGCTTTTATTACGAGGATCCTGAAAAATCCTACTAGGGCTTATTTTCAGGTTAGGTCTTATTTTTGGGGAAACAGGGCATTTATGTTAAATATTTATTTGCAACTTTTTGAATCCACATAATTCAAAACACAATAAGATAGGTTTTAAAACAGACTTACTGAAAGCAGCAACATCATAAAGCAAAACTCTGGCACTCGGAGAACATTTTTTTTTTTTAAAAGCCTTTTTCCTGTTTGGACCAAGAGGCATTTATTGTGGATCATGTCTCATACCACTCTGTATCTAACCATGTCTCCTATTTTTTTAAAAAGGCAAGATGTGTCCAGTGACTTTGAAATAAATATTGAAGTGTATAGTTTGGTATGTATCACCCTGTTTTGATATGTGGCTTTTTGAGAGAACACTTCAGGGAGCAATAGGTTTTAAAGTCTTATTTTTCTGTATAAGGTGCAGAAGAAAGAAGCCACAGGTGCTGACAAAAGGAAAAAATCCACTAAGTCAAAGGTATGGAGAATAGGTGTAATACTTTGAGGACATTCACCTCTACTACAAGATCTTCGTTCTAAGTGTTAAAAAAGTTTTAATTTCAGCATATACAACAGTTTATTGACTAGCATGTTCCTAAAGCTTATTAGCAATAAGCTCCGGGTTAGTATTTCAGTATATTGGATTCACAACGCAAAATACATCCTGAAGTAGTTCAGGATCAATGCCTGCTAGAAGTACCAGCTTGTAGATTACCGGGAGCATAATTTCTTTAGAAAAAAAACATATTCTGTCTGTGTGCACAGAACAATGCTTCGAGGACCATAGTTTGCTTTCAGGCAAATCTAATTGAGTCAAGAATTAACTGGCTTTGCTTCCATACATACTTAAAACCTAAGTAGCTCTATTTTGTTATGCCTGCATTTATAACAATAATTACATAACATTTCTAATGAGTTATATTCCATTCAGCTGATATTTATTGTATCTTCTCTAATATCATAGGCAATTACTCCAAAGAGATTATTGACATCCATTACTACTGTAAGTACTAATATAATTTTCAAAAAACTAACTTTTCACCTCAAGGCTATGGGCTGTGGCCATTATTTACAGTTAAGTATAATTTTGCTTGACTTCTTGGTTGGTTGTTCTTAGTGAGTTTGATGTTTTTTCAATACAGCAGGAGTGGCAAAGTGCCACTCACAGGCTGTATGTTTCCCCCTGGGCATTTTTGCAGCCCTATTGCAAAAAAGCGCTTTAATTATCTTTCCTTTCTGATTTGCAGAAAATTGTCAACTTCTGCTCCTGAGGCTCAAGCAGTTTAAAATAATATCAGGAGTCTTGTACGGTTGCCCTAATGGCCCACCTCCAAATTTTTAAAAAGGCACTTTCTGTTAACTATTTTAAAAAAATGAAGATAGAGGATGAATTTAGCCTTCAAACCTCCTGAGCTTGTTCACACTTCCACTAAAAAGTCAGGAATGAGCCAGCCCTTTAAAACATAATCCAGTTCCTCAAGCATAGTGTCTAATGTTCCTTGAATAACCTGTTTCTGTGTATATTTTCTTTCTTACAGAAGAGTAATCTGCTTGCACCAGGTAAGCATCTCTGTACAATATTGCATATAATGGAGATGTTCTGTTTCCCCATTAATCCAGTGCCCCTACAAAACAGCAGATTGTTCTTCTCATTTTACAGTTGGAAATTGGATTATGAAATGGCAAGTTGCCCAGATGTAAATGCAAATTAACAGAGACATTTATCAAATATGCATATGTAAAATCTGTAGTTCAGAATTTTACCCGTGGTCTTTCAGTACCCAACAGTACATAGGAATTAACTTTCTGCTTCATGGAGTTCAAAATACTGCACATTTAACTCAAAGATTCTTCCCAATGAATTTTTAAAGGTTTTAGTTGATTAGATTATTAGCTGTTGTAGTTTAATGATACACTTTCCCCCCCTCACAGCAATGTCCAGTCCAGGAGGTCCAAATGCAGTGCGCACTAGTAATTTTGTTCTTGTTGGTTCACATACGATTTCACTGTCTTCAGTAGGGAGTACCAAATTCCAGCTGGACAAGGTAATCGAGTTATTCAGTAAGAGTGACTTTTTCCTTCTCTTTAGTCAACCCAAAATTCTTTGTGCTTCTTGCTATTGCATTAAAAAAGTATACTGTGTGCATAATGATTGTTTTTTTTTAACTTACATGGTTGTTACATAGAGAAAGAACAAAGTTTTTTGGATATGGGCTGAAATGATGTATTGCCTTTTTCTTGCCCCTACACATATATAGTCATATGTCTGTCTGTTTTTATAAATTCTGGGTCCTTCAACTGTGTAATGAATATTCCTGGGGATAGCAAGTCGGTGCCTAGTTGTTTTTTTTTTCACATTTTAATTGCTAGCGAAAATAAATTCTTATAGGTATTGCTAGAATTTCTAAAATTTAACTTCGTATGTTAAAGAAAATGTTCAAGTTTTCTTGGCTATTCCTACATTTTCTTTTCAAGTGATGGTGCTTATATGAATCAAGTTTTTTTTGTTTTTTGTTAATAGTACCTCTATTTTGTGGATAAAAGGAACTTTAGGAATTTGAATTAGGGAATTAACACGCACACATTGGATTAAACTAGGAAGTAAAGACGGAGCTTCACTTGTAAGCTTATGTGCTTAACTCCGTCCTTTTATAGCTTTCTTAATTTTTCCCCGAAACTTACTGAGTTTGTTGGCATGTGTTCCGATGTACAGTTCAAAAGCTTAAAGAGATTGTCAAATGCATATCAGAAGTGTTATGCTGCTGCCTTTATTTCCTGTTTTGTTTTGCTTTTAGTTCTGATCAGTGTTGCCCATTTCTTTCTTTTTTGTAGATAAATTATGGAGTTAAGGAAAGAGAGCTGCTTGGTTATTTGTTCCAGGATAAGGTTGCTGTGTTTTCTTCAAAAAACATAGAATTCCCAGTGCATGCTACTCATGTCTTCCACTAAACTTTGTTTATGGCTTTACAACATGCTACTTCAAGGACCACTTCATAATTTTTAAATGGAATACTTGATTAATTCTAATTTTACAGAAGAATGTCCCTTCAGGAGCACTTCATGCTGCCCTTTTGAGGTCTTGTGTGCTAAACAGATCTATAGTAGATTCATAGGGACTGTTGGAGTTACTGTTGCTCTTCTATCCTGTGAAATAGCTGTCAGCTATTGTGATTCTATGAATGATTGGCCTTCAAAATGACCTGTTGTTTGAGTTACCAGCCCACATCTATGTATTTCGTGGCTATATAAATAAACGGTAGGTTCAGGGAAAGACTTCATTTTTAAAAAACATTGCATGCTGAAAAGTAAAAGTCCTTTGAGTTTAATTATCAGGCAAAAAAAAAACGAGTTATAATTATAGCTTGCCATTAGAAACCATGGGAGCAGATGTTATCTTTATATTTTGTAATATGAAATTTATTAATCTTGGCAAGCTTCTTTTTGACATCTGGATAGTGGGATATGTGTTGCAGCTATATGCTTCAGTCCATCAGCTACCAAGTTAAATAGGAATAGATTAGACACATTAGGATTGTAGAACTGGATAGCTCAACGGCTTAGGTATCTGGCTGTGGAACCAGAGGTTGGGAGTTTGATTCCCCACTGTGCCTCCTTGACAGGGGCTAGACTCAATGATCCATAAGGTACCTTCCAGCTCTGCAGTTCTACGATGATGATGAAGAAAGATTTTTGTTCTTCCCAATAACACTTTTAACCTGCTTGTGAAAATGATAACGACATAGGTCACAGGTGTTGAAGCTGCCCAAATAGTATTCTTGCATTACCCTTGAACAAATACGCCAGTTCGGCTCTTGCTGCACTGGAGGCTGCAGTCCGTTATCTTCATGGCTATGTGTAGGGACTGGAGATGGACATGAATTGATTTGGCCTGCTTTGTCAAAATTTGTACGTGTGGCAGCACAGGTACTGTGCATTCCCTCTCCCACCCACTCTCCGCTACATGCCACCTGGGTCCTCCTCCTTGGGAGGCTGTCCACTTGGGGCAGAAGCTCAGGCTTTCCTTCCCCACTTCCTCTGGCAGCTGACCACTCAGACAAGGAGGTGGAGCGGGGATTCTTGCTGAGCAGCAGTTGAGTGGTCAGCTGCTGGAGGAGGCAGGGAAGGGAGGACAGTGCCCTGAGGAGGAGGACCCAGGCAGCATGTGCCAGATTCTTAGTGGGGCAGCTGGTGAGGGGAGAGAATGTGGCACCTTTGGTGCCACACATATGAATTTTGACAAAGCAGACTGAATCAATTTGTGCCCATCTCTAGTAGGGACTACTTGCTTGTGATTTTTGTACCATAGGCACATATATCTACATCATTCTTCACAGAGAGGAAACTCCAGCAGAACTTTAAACCACATGGCATTTTGTTCCAGTTATGTCAGTGAATAACAATAGCTGCTGAACTTGTGGTTCTTATTTTACCAAAAAGGATAGAATTTTGTGCTTTGGGCTCTGGATACAACCTCTGTGTATGTTTGTGTGTAGGTGTAGGTCAAGTATTGTACTTGTTGGCTATATTAAATCAAGTGAAAATATTGAAAATGAAATCAAAGTGAAACATTAATATTCAAGTCTGTAAAGGTACAATCCACTGTTAAACACAGCAGTACATTATTTGGGGCATGAGGTAGTTCCAGCTAGTTTTATTTTAAAGGCTGATTTTGGCAAAGGTCTCTGTTTATGCCCTATTCTGAAGCATCCTAGCAGAGTCTTGTTATTTTCTTTAGGTTTTATAGCACACTAAGCCTGAAGGTGGTATACTAGAGTAGGAGGAGCACTGATGGAGCTAAATAGTTGCCTGCTGCTGTCTGTAGAGAGTGACTTTGTGAGAAAATTTGTGCAGAACATACCTGTCTAAACTAAAAGAGCATGATCCTTCAATTTGGTGCCACACAATTCCTGTAACAATTTCAAGGGTGCCTCTAATGACATCCTAAATGAAAGAAAAGATGGGAAGCCAGAAGAAATTATTTTTCTATGCATGAATAGATTATTTTCCCAATTGTGTGCTAAAAGTAAAAGCATTTCAAAGTGTATCTTACTGCTGTGCCCTGAGCATGAGCAGTTGATTTAAGCAATCTACTCTTCCGTTGTATTTGTGTGCAGATTGTCATACTGGTTTGCCTTCGTTAGTCTAGTGGCTAGTTTTATTACACATAATCCCTTAGCTCAGATTGGAGCTCTAGTTGACTAAAACAATACGTCTGTATGTACAGAAGAGAAGAATTTTGTTGCATTCCTGTAACAATTTCAAGGGTGCCTCTAATGACAAACTGGCTTAGACACTTGAAGTGAAAGTGGACTTCTCCAGTCCTGTTACTTTACGAGCAGGGTCATATGCTAAGTAGGAGGAGTTGACAGGTGTGAAACTTGAAGGATAGACTAGAGCAGTGGTTCCCATCCTTGGGTCCCCAGGCATTCTTGGACAAAAATCCTGGCCAGCAGAGGTAGTGATTAAGGCTTCTGGGAATTTTAGTCCAAGAACAGAATAGTAAGCGTAAGAGTGGAATAGCAAGAAGAATCGAAAAAGACTTCAGAAAACTGCATTGGTGTGTTTGTTACACAACTATAGGAGTGCCATCTCTGGATTTGGAATGAAAGTATAACACGTAAACTTGATATGTCAGGTGCTGAACAGAGGCTCCTGGCTCAGCCTGTGCCGTGGGATGGTAAACTAGTTAAACAAAGCACACTTTAAATTCACTTATTTTATTCACATTTGCTCTTGTTGGGATGTACTTCATTTCATAAAAGCAGTTAAATAGTGCTGTTTAACTACCTTTTTTCTCTGGAGGTGTACAGAACACCTGTCTAGAATCTACTGTACTTCTGTGAACAAACTTTGGAAAAGATACAGTAACAGCCTGAAAAACCTACAACAACCATACAGTATTTTGGTCCTTCAAGTGTGCTGTCTTTGTTTCTTGGGAAAATGGACTTTTCTGCTTTGTTCATCAACATGCAGGGTTCAGTGTTTGTGTCTTGCTACAAGGAGGGATGCTTTTGTCTCTTGGATACTGCTTTGCTGTACCCAATGTCTAAATAATACACATCAGTACAACTAACACTGATTTCATTAAAAAGCTACCTCTGGTATCATGAGTCTTTCGTGTTTAAAAATTTGCCATTCTCCAAGCTGCTGTCTGACTGTAGAACTCCCATACCAGCTGCACTTGTTGGGATCTTGACTGGATCATCCAGCAATATAGTTTGGAGGGGGGGGCAGAGAAAAACACCTAACCAGGTGCAAGTAGTCAGTCTGACATAAGATCAATAGGTATTACTTGGGATTTTTTTTTAAATTGGACAAATGGCAGTTTTATTCATGAAGGGACAGTTTTGGCCATGAACTCAGTAATCAAAGCTAGTCCCTGATGCCAAAAGAGAAGTCTAATACAGTGGTGCCCCGTATAGCGATGTTTCCGTATAGCGATCCCTTTTTCAGGATCGCTATACGGAAACATACCCGATCTTCGCAATGGGGAAAACCCGCATTGCGAAGATCGGGTATGTTTCCGTATAGCGATCCCTTTTTCAGGATCGCTATACGGAAACATACCCGATCTTCGCAATGGGGAAAACCCGCATTGCGAAGATCGGGTATGTTTCCGTATAGCGATCCCTTTTTCAGGATCGCTATACGGAAACATACCCGATCTTCGCAATGGGGAAAACCCGCATTGCGAAGATCGGGTATGTTTCCGTATAGCGATCCCTTTTTCAGGATCGCTATACGGAAACATCGCTATACGGTGCACTCGTTAAGCGAGGCACCACTGTACTATATTGCTAAAAATGTTATCTGCCGTGTGACCTTTGGTCAGGACTAACACAGCGGGCTCCAACTATAAGGTTGGAGATAGCTCCAGCTATCAGGACCTATAGCAGATTCTCCAAATCTGGTGAACGCCAGGTGTTTCAAATGAAAAGTTGTATTAAATGTGTGTGCTACTTGTATACAACCTCAAGCCAGCTAACTGAGCCCATCAGGATTGAACTCTGTCTTAAGTAGAGGCTTGACTGCAGTTAATGCAGTTTAACTGCTAAGTCCCAACTAGCATAGTAAATGGTTGGGGAGGATTGAAGTTAGGTATATCCCAGTATGTCTGGGCAGGACCAAGCTGTGGACTATAAGAACAATCTCCTTTTTCTATGTTCTTTCTTTGCTCTCACTGTTACCTGAGATGGATTCTTTTCATAATTGATGTGCTTCTTTAAAAACATTGGATAATCCTGGAAGTTGTATTAATGGAAATGAATGTATCATTCACATATATGTGAGTTGTTTGTTGAAGACTAAATTGCAGCTTTTCTGTGTATTTGTTGGAAGTTTGTTTCTGAGAAGCCTGTGCCATACATGTTTTAACAGCCTTCTCATGTCTTGTTCCACCAGTGTTTTGCTATTCCCTTTTTCTTTCAACTTGATAGAATCAATTGGGGTGGCAGACGTAGGAAGCTCTGTTTCTGCAGTGTGGGTTTTCTTGAACCCCCAACTATCAAATGGCCAGAAATGACTTCCTCTTTTGAAGCTGGTGACAACTTGACAAAACTTTCTCAAATCTGAGCATTTACAAATTTATCTGGAATATACATGATGAACCTCACAGTACAGTATTTCAAAAACTAATGATTCAAAGGAGTAAATGTGGCTCTTTGGGAATGTTGTGGTGGTTTGTCTTGTAGTGGCTGTTAAAAGAGTGAATCTTTCACCTACTTATTTTTCAGGTTCCTTTTTTATCTCCTCTGGAAGGCCATATATATCTCAGGATTAAATGTCACATAGATTCTTGTGTGGAAGAGAGAGGCTTTTTGGTAAGTTACATAGAGCTTCCCATCACCTTATCTGGCTATCTACGTTTTGTCTGATAAAGCAGGCCTACACTAATGTCAAAAGTCATCAAAATGTAGATATTGTGATGACTGCTGTGAAGTTTAGCTGACTGGTTACTGAATCCAGGAGGTGGCACTGTGTGCTGTAGAAACCAATGACAATCCCAAAATCAAAGAAAAGCTGCAATGCTTTATCACTGTGCTCAACAATCACTTTTATCAAATAGGGTTTATGACAAAATTAATGCAAATATTCCAGATGTATTGCAATAAAAGTGTAGACATCCTAGAGATACATTGGATCGTGATATTACAGTTTTGTTGTAAGTTGCCTTAAAAATTATAAGCAATATATAAAATACAGATATTCTCAACTATTAAAGTTACTAAAACAGCCAGTTTGTGAGAGGAGGAGAAGTATCAAGTATAGGATGCTGGTACTGGGATCATCCTATACTTAATACATCTCCTTCTCTCACAAACTGGCTGCTTTAGTAACTTTAAATTAAGTATAGGATGCTGGTACTGGGGCTTCTTGGGAGGAAAGCGATGACAAACCTAGACAGCATCTTAAAAAGCAGAGACATTGGCTTGCCGACAAAGGTCCGCATAGTCAAAGCTATGGTTTTTCCAGTAGCGATGTATGGAAGTGAGAGTTGGACCATAAAGTAGGCTGACCATCGAAGAATTGATGCTTTTGAATTGTGGTGCCGGAGGAGACTCTTGAGAGTCCCCTGGACTGCAAGGAGATCAAACCTAATCCATTCTGAAAGAAATCAACTCTGAGTGCTCACTGGAAGGACAGATCCTGAAGCTGAGGCTTCAGTACTTTGGCCATCTCATGAGAAGAGAAGACTCCCTGGAAAAGACCCTCATGTTGGGAAAGAGTGAAGGCAAGAGGAGAAGGGGACAACAGAGGATGAGATTGGACAGTGTCATCGAAGCTACTACCATGAATTTGACCAAGCTCCGGGAGGCAGTGGAAGACAGGAGGGCCTGCGGTGCTCTGGTCCATGGGGTCACAAAGAGTCGGACACGATTTAATGACTAAACAACAACAAGCTGGTACTGGGATCGGCCTCTGAGTGAATGTTTGCTGAGATGTGGTGCCTCGCAAGACGAATGCTTCGCAGGACAAGATTTTTGGTCTTGCAAGGCACGTTTCCCATAGGAATGCATTGAAATTTATGTAATGCGTTCCTATGGGGGGGAAAGTCAGAAACCAAAAAAAGTCAGCAAAAATTCACTTGCCAGGTACAGTAGACTGAGCCCAGCTCCTCACATTGCCTTTGTAGCCCCAGAACAGCTGGAAAAAAGACCACCAAACAGCTCAGAGTCGTCAACCAGCAGGGAGCCGGCAGCCATTTTGTGGTCGTCTCCACCCCTGCCTCTCAGCTGATCAGTGCTGGGTCTAAGAGGCTTCCCCAGGCTTGTCTAGCAGGGAAAAGGCCTCTTAGACCCAGCGCCAATCAGCTGAGAGGCGGGGAGATGGGGGCAGGAGCAGAGACTACCACAAAATGGCTGCCGGCTCTGAGCTGTTTGGGGCTCTTTTTCCGGCTTTTCTGGGGCTACAAAGGCACTGTGAGGAGCTGGGCTCAGTCTACTGTACCTGGTAAGTGACTTTTTGCTGACTTTTTTTGGTTTCTGACTTTTTTCCCAATAAGAACACATTAATTAAATTTCAGTGCTTTCCTATGGGAAAGCGTGCTTTGCAAGACTAAATTTTCGCTAGATGGCATTAACCATGGGACAGATTAATTTCGTCTTGCGAGGCACCACTGTAGTCAATTTATGGGAATGGTAAACTTAGGATATTTTTTTTGTCTCCTTAGACTATGTTTGAAGATGTCAGTGGCTTTGGGGCTTGGCATCGCCGCTGGTGTGCTCTTTCTGGAAATTGTATCTCTTATTGGACATACCCAGATGATGAAAAACGAAAAGTGAGTTAAAATTTATTTAAATTCATTATTTTCTAGAATAATAATAGACCTCTCATTTTGTTCTTTGTGGTCTTTGTGAATACATATATGGATTTCTACATCTGTATAGAGCAACATTTCAGAATGTTCGGTATCTGATTACTTTTGCTAGGAGCCCCATCCAACCCCTGCATGGAGCATGACCAAGTACATTCAAAGTGAATTTCCTCAGTTCCTTTTAGTTCATTGCAAGAGTGACTTCAGAGGAACTTAACTGAGCGCTACCTTCTAATCTTTCCCTCATATTTTTGGGGCTCTACCCAAATTTATGGACTCTACACATCTCTCTAGAGAATCAGAGTCAGAGAACAAAATCATGTAATTCAGCCTGGGTAAATTCCATATAGAACTATCTGAGGAAGGTTTATGAAGCAGAGATTCAGACTTTGAGAACTGAAGCTCTGTTCTTTCCTATTAGATATAACCCTCATGATAGTTGAAAGTCAGCCCAGAATCAACTCTTGCACGCAGCTTGAACCAGTATCTGTTGGGCCAGTGATCCCCTAGTATAGTCCTTGGCTCATGCCTTGACTTCATTTTTGGTGCATTCCTTTGACTGATCTTGGAATGTTTTTCAACTTTGACTAAAGCTCTGGTGTCATCCAACTCTAAAGTAACAGCTTTTATGAAGATGTCAGTTGCAAACTCCTCTGCCTCAGCCTCTCCCCAACCAACTCCAAGCAAGGATCTTTGCCAGCCTAGGCTGAAAAAACATTCACCTATATTACCACCTCTATTGATGCAGAAACCAACCAAAACCAAGACACAAGAAAACTGATCTCACGAAGACTACTGACAAGTGTTTTTTCATGGCATTGACCTGGAGAACAGCCATGACTATGACATCATCTATTCCACCTTTGTGTATCACTCTAAGCATCGGTGCCAGCTAGGCAACTGACTGTTGCTTAGCATCAGCAACACCTGCACCAACTTTGACCTTGGTTATGGACTTAATCCATTCCAATAGGCACGGATTGCCGTCCTTAAGCGAAAAAACCCATAGGAAACATCGTTAAACTATACAATGTTTCCTCCATTGGAATGTATTGAAGCTGACTCAATACATTTCAATGGCTTTGCGAAGTCAGTTTTTGCAAAATTAAGTGTGTCATAAAAGGGTCAAAAATGGTTTTAAATGCTTGGATTAGCTTCTGCACCCTCTAAAACGGATGCAAAAGTTAATTTGGCTTTGATCTGACTTTTCATTAATTTATGGTGAATTTTTCCCCCCAACTTTTGACAGCTGTCAAAATCTGACAGCTCCATTATTTCCTATGGGGGAAGAAAAAATTCACAAAAAATTAACAAAGACTCAGCAACTGTTCTAAATGCTTGGGTTCGTTAGAGGACCCCCTAAGTCGTGTGCAAACCTGATTTGGCTTTGATCTGATCTTTCGTTAATTTATGGTGAATTGTTTTCTCCCCCATAGGAAAGCATGGAGCTGTCAGATTTTGACAGGTCCATTGGTTCCTATGGGCCGGAAAAAAAAATTCACCATAAATTAACGAAAAGTCAGATCAAAGCCAAATCAGGTTTGCACATGACTTAGGGGGTTCTCTAACGAACCCAAGCATTTAGAACAGTTGCTGAGTCTTCGTTA